GATGCGAAATATGGCACCCGTGTCTTTACTCACGCCTTCATCTAGACATCCATTAATAACTTCAAGATTACTTATGAATTATTCCACTTATGCAGGCTTATTGCATTAATCCAGTCTTCTCTGGTCATCCGATTATTCGGATCGCTCTTTACCTCGAACAAAACTTAGGATCAAATAATAACTAAATAAACTATAGATTTAACATGAAGTTGGTTTGAATCCACGGCTACTATAGCTATCATAATACCATTTTGTATGCCTAGTCTATCATTCATTGTTGAGACATATCGTTTAAAATATAAATTCGACTTGAAAACTAGAAATCAACCGTATGAGATGTTGAATCCAAGCTGCTGAATATGGAAAGTATTTTACTTTCTACGAAAAAAGTACTGACAGAGTAAAACGCAAGAGAGCATCTGACAGCTAAAATGAAACATTATAACATTATTATATGAAGCTGAGAGGCAAATTAGGGCTAGGCCTAACATGATTGTGACTTAATGAGCTTAAGTGAAACTATTAATTGCAAGCTTTTGCTAATCACGATACCATCGTAATAAGATTTAGGACTAGTGATAAATTATTTTGTCAGTTTTGATATGAGCCTGTGTTTAATTATGGTTTGATTAAATATTTCAAATAACGGAAATCTAATACTTCCTAATAGACATATAATTCCAAATCATGGCACCTATATTTGTGCTGTAATACTTGATTCATAAATTACCGGTATATATTGGATAGTAGGCCTAGTATTGTAGGCGTGGTATAGGTACGTTGGTTTTTGTTCGATTATTCCATAACGAACAGGTACAGTACCCACAAAACAGCATAACAGTGGTTAAAAGTTAATGTGTGTGCGCGCGTAACGGTGAAATTCATTGAGTCCCTGGATTTCCAACATTGCTCCAATGGCGTATCCAGGATTTTGAAATAGGGGTTCTGAAGAGGAATATTACGTCCACTGAACTTTACGCAATGCGCAAAAATATATATTATATTGATGGTTATGATTACACAATAAATTGGATGTTAATGTCTAATTAACTTACTTTGCCATTTTATTTCCATTAGTTTATTATTATTTTCTTTCATGTTTGAACAATGAGGGGGTGCTCAGGCACCGTGAATACCCACACCCCAACTCTGGTTACGCCACTGGGGTCTACTCAATAACTATGAAATACAACTTACAGTGCCATCGTAGAGTGGGTATCTATAAAACAAGTAGGGCTTTAATGATGTAAAACAATATAAGATAAAGCTACTAACTATGAACATGAGTTTTGTGATTGATGAAAGATTTACAATAGTGCTGTAAAACAATATTATGTTATACGCCACGGGACTAGAGAAATCAATTATTCAGTAAAATTTATTTTTGATAAACTGGAATAAATTACCTTGGCATTAGAAAGTAAACACCTTGATCTAAAGGTGTCTATCTTATCTGTAAGTGAATAATTATAGGAATATTACTATACAGAGTTTAGAATTGGAAATGAAAAAGACATATCAATATTGTTAACAAGAACGCATTCTTTTGAAGTGACCCGTAGCAGCAAAAAAAAATGTGTTTTTTCCCTTCACATTTCGAAATGCAAGGCATCATATAAGACACTTTTGGTACATTCTGGTGACGATAAATGTATCTTCAAAGAATTAAAATCACGTGTACAACACATCAAATCACGCGTGGGAACGCGTGGAATCACGTAGAAGGCACGCAAAATCACGTATAATATACATTTAGTCAATGTCCCATTGATTATCCTTCTCAACTTGCCTATATAGTGAACATTCTGTGTATAAGTAACATCGAGATTGCTTTCGGACACCCAGGGGCGAACGATTCGTTTCGTTAATACAATAAATATACAGTACATTGATATTATAAACAATACTCGTTGTAGACAGTAATATTAGTGTAAAGTAGAAAGTTATGGTCACGTTACAATATTAATGAAACGAAATATACGTTTATGGATTTTGATGATCATCTTTCCGTTGATTTAAAATAGTTTTGGTATCATTTATAGTCACATTTCACCATCCGACGATTGGTTAATTACACTGACTCAACACAGTCATATCATCCACTTTTAGTGATACATTATATTGCGCCATTGACAGTCATAATCAGGCATAACTATTACTAGCTTTTCTCCAAACTCAATCTTAATAACAAATACTGCGTTTTGTACTTAATGAAAAAACTCAATAATTGACGGAAGCGCCTTAGACGGCTAATAAGAAGCAGTTTGTAAAGCCATACACAAATCTGGTTATCCCTATCTAAATTATATTTTTACGATCACATGCGTTATGTTTTTATAATATGCTAAATTATTACGGATTCGCAAATTTTAACAACACTATATTGTAGGACATAGGCCTAGGCCTTTTGTTTATTGAATTATGGCATTGTGAATAATCACTTCGTTATAGTTTTTTAAATTTATTTCTTTTTGTCCATAATAAGTTATTCAGTACAGTAGGCCTATAAGTTGTTCAGAAAAATGACTATTAGTAACACCTGAGTAGACATGACTAAAAAAAACCCAGTTTAAATAAGCTAATTCTAATTGATTAGTACCGGTATAGGTGAATACCAAGATATACCTACAAAGTAAGGTGTGATAGTGGTGAGGGTAAATTTCCCTTTAGTGGTTAGAGGTCAATGATCTAGCTTAAAAGTCTACAGTAGGCCTATATCGAAAATCAACCAGCTGGATATTGTTAATTTTGGTAAACAGAAATAGATTAGAAAAATTCAAAGCCTTAATTAGAATCACTGGAATATCTTAACATTTAACATATTCGGTATTCAGTATTAGGAGGTCAAGGATCAAAATGTTTGGTTTAATGTTGTGCGTGTGTGTGTATGTCAAGCCCCATGCGTTTGCATTTAAAGCGCCCTAGTGCTATATGTGAACCGATCGCTCTATTGAAAGATTAAGAACACTTTTACCTGTATATACAGGCACGGTGAATTACACTAGTAAAAATAACTTCTCAACAACGACACCAAACTTTCGTTGCCGTATCCAATTGTTTAAAACAGCGCCCAGAGCTTCAGGTCAAGCCCAAAAGCTGCGAGCTGATTGGTCCGAAGTTGAGAAACCATTTTCTCAACGAAACTTTTGCGATGGTTGTGTTTGCGTTAGTAGAAGCGAGTCTGATGATCCGTCTGATGATCCTTCGCGCTGTGTGTCGTGTTATTGAAACGGTATCTTGAACCAAGGTAAATCCGACCAAACTTTGTTCAAAATACAGTATTGAAGTGTGCACAGAGAAATCATCACTAATTATCATTATTTTATTTTCCATTTTTCAGAATTCATTCATACATATTTTTTTCTAAAACACAAACATGCATAAACTGTATCATAATCACATAGGCCTATACACATACATGCAAACGCAGCTGGCAGACAGTTATTTGCTATGCATCAATGACTAGTGCTGTACAACTATGCATGCGCATGAGTGTGAGGCATTAGTTGCTTTAATCAGATTTGAATCCAATGGCCAAGTTGGTTAGTTGGTTAAGGCGTATGTAAGCATAGACAGCATGCGAATTTCCCGGGTCCGAATCTCGGTTGGGGGAAAGTTTTTTTACACTCTCAGATTCCTCTTTTTTAACGTTCAAAATTCATATAATTATAGCATTACCGCAAGACGTTATTATTTCATTATTAATAATAGGCATATTATATAACCACCATCCGTATGTAACACTTTAATATTTATTTTCTCCTAATTTGTGTCTTGTGTGTCTACACCCACTCCGCGTGCACCTTTGGGGTTGATAATGATTACTAGCTACGTACAGTCTTCACACAAATCTTGGTTTTCATCCATTTCGTAAGCAACAAATATTTTTAACAGACTGACTAGTAGGCGAATGAACGCATTACTGAATCATATACTTGCCTAATTGATACGAATTATGCTGACGATGATCAATTATTTAGCAGTAAATTGTGCAAAATTGAAATGGATTGCTTTCAGTGTAAGATTTATGCAGCTTATAACAACAATTCCTCGTAAATATTTCAATGTGCGCTGGCGTTGACTTGCTTTCTATCGGTGCATTAATTGATTTTCTCATATCGCCTGCCTTCGTCTTTATATTTTGTTATTTAATGAAGGAAATGAAACGAATGAATAATTGGAAAAAGCATGTGAATCGAAACGGTATGAAACTTTACTCTGCCTTTAGCTACGGATGGCTCACTGTCATTAAAGCGGTTCGCACGTATACCGTATATATTAGTTTCCAGTAAAACACAGCGCTTTAGCGTATTTTGTAAATTTATGTAACGCGCTTTCATCCAATCACGAATGAAGAGCCCACGATGTTTACATTTCTATGAACATAGCGAGCTAAAAAAAATCACCATGACGTCAACTCGTAACAGAGTTACTTTAATATTACAGTACTATACATTTTACCGTGTCCACCTGTCCATCTTCTTGAATCATTACCTTATCTCATTATGTTATACGTGTCTCATGTGTGTAGTATTAGAAATTAAGATACATCTTAAAGTATATGTCCTCAATTACCAATGCCCCGCTTCATTCTTAACAATCAAAACAGTTTTCATATCTTTCCGTTCCTCATACATTTTTCATCGATCGTAATCATTTTTTTTTTCATCCGCATTTATTTACCGTTCATATCATTGTATAATTCTATTACGGCGTAATGTCATAGGCATACTCAGTGGGCTAGCACTTAAACATGATCTGTCTTGCGCTTAGTACATGCATAAAATTCTAAGCATTGTTTTTAGTTAGAACGTTAAATATTATAAATTAGACTGATATTTCTTCGTTATTACATTGGATTTCTGATATTTGTCCTCTATTTCTCTTTTAATGGAAAATGCAATTTGTTGGAATTTCGTTCTTGCTTCCGGCATATAATCAAAATATATCATGTCATTCAACACATACATTGCAAAATAAGTAAGAACTGTATAATGCTGTACCAGTATGCGTAGGCGTTTAATTATGTCATTTATATAAATGCTGGCATTTTTGGTCTGCCAAATTTTCACACTTACTATAATTCTAAACGTATATTACATAAAAAACGTCACCAATATCAGTAAATTACATAGGCCTATATTTATAATTTTAAGTAGCGCTTTCCATTCTTAGTCCGTTTTCTATATTATATAATTTAATACAGTGTTTCAGGTGGTCTGTAATTTCATGGTTTTTTTTTTTTCGAGTTACACAATAATTTTAAAATAAGAGATAAAGAAGGGGGAAGTATACCATTTCTTTATCTATGTTGTATATTATAGATGTTTTATATCCCATTTGTAGAGGTGCTGTTGTAATTTCTTATACTGTTTTATAGCAGACTAACGCGGCTACACTTTTTATTCATCATGATGACAAAAAAGTTACTGCACTGTACTTTACTACTGTAGTTGTACGGTTTCATCAATATTTGTTCAATGCTTATCACCTTGGCGAAATCATCTAGAATCTTCCTTTGATTAAATAAATAAACGTTTAATCAAATCGTCAATTCAACATGTTCGAACTATTACAATGCTCAAGCCCTGTCCAAGAATATCAAACGTTATTTGACAAAAACATGTTGCATGTCTAAATATGGTCATGACATCACATCGTGACTATATATATGGGCATAATACAATATTTTGTCAAAGGAAATTTAATAATCTTGACAGCTTAACATCCCTCCTTTGGGTAAACCTTTAGGCCGAGAACCGAGGGAAAATGTATAGTATATTAAAGAAAACACTACGGACAACCTCTATTCAGAAGACACCTTTATTAAGGCGACACATGTTTTGATCCACCGCAATAGCTCTCATTATTATAATATGCCAAATTACTATACCATCGTCATGTCATGATCATCATAATCATCGTGATCATGATCATGATCATCATCATATCATGATCATGATCATGATGATCATCATCAGTGTCACCAAGAGCGACTCTTGTCCCAGGACTTTGCAGCTGCTGGGCCTGCAGCGGTCGATCTAAGAGTGGCAGGAGGCGCAAGGTGGCCACGGAAGCTACCGTACTTTTAGGCCCGTGTTTTAAACGATTGCAAATTATAGGCCTACGTGTATACGTGTATCTTATCACTCATTGTTCTCTTTATTCATTCATACTAGTGGCCTGGGTATCTATAGGGTCTAGGTGCACCCATGGAGGAATTTAGGGGTTAGTGGGGTCGAGTTTCATGGCGTCAACTTGCATTCCCATCGGATCGAACCGAAATTCGGACCGGTTCCAAAGCGCTAAACGCCAGCGTCCCTTTCGATTTTTTTTTTTATTGCTTCGGTAGGTTTTCCGATCCGAAAATTTGGATTTGGTGTGAATGCACCTTAAATCGGTGTCATAAACCAATATATATTTAAAGGTTAGGCCTATGTCTACGAGTAACGGTTAGTATTATTTCCGATTACTCTTATCGCCTTTATCACTCTAGTATCGCCTTTTTCTACATTTATAGATATTACCATTCATTTATATTTTATGACATTCCGATTTGTAGACTTACAGTTTTCAAAGATCCCAGTTGTTTCCACTTTTCTTCTTATTTGAGTTATTAATACCGTATAGTTCCTTATGTTTATTTATTAGAATTTGTTTCAATAAATTCGTGATCCTGCCATATGATGTCATACTTACAGTTTTATATTTTGCGCACGATCAATTTAGTGTGTAAAGAATTTCATAAAAATTATGAATGATAAACCTAAATTGTCTTCTGTCGCACAGCAGACAATGACGACATTTTCCCGATGCATCTTTACCGTATGTGCTCAACAAAAAATCAATAAATACAAAGTGCCTCTTGAAACATTTGTTACACTCCCGTTTACAACACCACTAATGCAAGCTCTTTATGCGTTACTAAAATAACGTTCAATACAATAAACCAAAAACTCGTAAAACAACCCAACAGAACATATATAATAAAACGCCTGTGAGTAAGACCGTGTTTAGCAGTATGGTTTATTCACAGAAACACAGTTTTGAAGTGTACGAAGGATAGTAAACGGTCCGTCACAAATCACCCGCCAGAATTCAATGAAACTATCTGATTAGATTTTGAGAATGTTCTTCGAATTGCTTTTTCTTGGAGGAGCTAAATTTGTGAAATATGGCGAAACTTAATATCCATCCATTGCAAATTTGGCTGTGCGTGTACTTTACATTAAACTAAAAGCTTTTAAAGTTCGTCGTAATGAGAGCGCACTTAGCTAAATCGGCTTAAATCTATCTCAATTTCGCGTGTTACTGATATTACGTTCTATTTGGTAAATGGACTTCTGAAAAGGCCCTAAGTAACATACGAGAGACTGCACCACGAATCTGCATTTAATAAGTGCGCACACACGCTCTGTAGGTCCGTCGATTAACGGTTAAATGGAAATTATAATCGATTTCTTTAGAGCTCCAGTGAAATAACATCGTTATTAACGGGGGAAGAACTTAACAAACGATAACTTAACTTGACAGAATCTCTCTATCTCATTCAAATTTCAAATTATTTTTGCAGGCTGACAGGAGTACAACGTAGTACTTTATGCTCTTTGAAGTTGGATAAAACACGTCTTTGAAACCTATGTTTATTATCCAGGTTGGTAAGCATAAACAACGCACTATGTTGGTGAGTGACAATATACGCCTCTGTTATAAATATAGGCAGTAATATCAGAGGCAAATTATACATTTTTTAAGGCTCTATTTACTGAAAAGACACTTTCGACAGCTTTGAGCTTAATACACACAATAATACAACATTGGCTAACTTCTCATTCTGATATACATTAAAACAAATATAAAACACCATGTTTTCACGGAGGTTAATTTATACTGTGGTACAAATAACAACGCGTAAAAATACAAGAAGTTAAAAGAAATCATTAAAACAATAGTTACTAGGTCTATTAGGCCTAGGCCTATAATTTATCAACCATAATAGTATTATATTATTATTATTATTAATTAATAATAATACGATATGAAATAGGCTAAAATATTAATATGAAATAATAATAATTATAATTTTATTATTGACATTGTTGTTATTATTCACAATTTTTAAGACCGTCGGAGTATGTACTGAATATAAATACAATTGGCTATTTTTTTTTGTAATAAGGATAAGGGGATCTTAAATGCTTACATTATAACCAGCAATCTATCACTGGGGCCAGTATTTGGGCATTACAGTTGCCTAGTAATGAAAAATCGAAGCTACGATCAAACTGGCTCTTCCCCTGTCTCTATTTTGTTACCACCCCAACCCCAAAATGGCAATCATGGATACAACTATATTAATAATAACAACAATACCAATAATAATAATAATAATCATTTATTAATAATAATAATAATAATAATCATTTATTAATAATATTAATAATCATTTATTATTAATAATAATAATAATATCATTAATAATAGAAACAATAAAAATACAGTGGTAAAATATAATTAAAATGAAAACTTGTATAAGCTTAATCTTAATGGCAAAATAAACTAATAATGAAAATAATTTGAGCATACAAGCATTCTCTTATTTATTATATACAAAGCTAGAATCATTTCTATATACAGCGGGCATATACAATGTTTTACATTAATGGCATAAAAATGCACCGTTATTTACACAGGACAGAAGGATGATATTTGCTTAATGCGCAGTTGTAGAAAGACAAGCACAGGTTTCTACTAGGAGCATAATCAAACTTTAAAAAAACAAAACAAAACACCACCTTCAGTTTTCCTCTCATTAATTAGGAGAATATTTTTTTAAATGTCGATTGTCTTTGAAGTGGCTCAATAAAAAGTTTTTGCTTTTCCAGTAGTTTCATAAAATAAACTGTTCAAAACCATATCACACGCCCTCTACCGACTGAAGTTCCTTGATTCTAAAAACGCATTCAGAAAACTAAATATGATCACTTTTGTCAAGCTGGCTAGCCATCATTTTAGTATACACAGAACCTCAGCGCAGAGCCACATGGTCCGATGTAGTCATATAACCTCTTCATTTAAAGACAAATAATGTATAGTTTATTGAACTAACTTGACTCAAATGGCTGAACCGTTATTCTAGTTCCAAAGTTGTCTTTTGAGAGAACGCGTTGATGGACGAATATGACGGAACAATATTACTTGAGCAATTAGCGGAGCATTATTTGACCTCAAATGGGCAATGTAGCACGTGATTTCAGTCACATGATCAAACAAACGAACAGTTTAACATTTCTGTACAATAAATGTTTACACAATTTACACGTAAAAGATGGTTGGCGGTTCTATAGGTGAGACAATCCATTACAAAGGACAATCTTGAATCGGTAACAGCGTTATAATCGTCTGTGAAAAACTCAGAGTATAGTACACTGTACTAGTACGTATTCGAATTGACGTAGCAGTCGGTCGTTCCTGATACCGCACTTAACAACGCCCTCTTTAGTTCAGCAAAAACTTTCTTCAACAAACAACCTGAAAGACAAGAACATTAAATAAAAAACTTACTCATGTTTATCAACGATTACTTTAACATAATGTAAATAAAAGGTACCGTAAGTTATAAAGCATCCAATGCCACTAACAAAGTTCAAGTTCCTTGCAAATAATAAGTAATTCTAGATAGGTCTACAATATATCGATAGTTAGATAAAATGATATTGCAACTGTAGGCGACGTTTACCATCATGATATTATACAAAATGATACAATATACTATACTAAGGATAATATAAAAAGGAGGCCTAATAGTAATTAGAATGATAGTTTTGAGGATTAGTACTAAGTATATCTCTAGTACGGTAGTTGAGATGCCTGCTTTCCAATCAGAGGAAAACACAGGATGTTTTTTCTTTTTCTCAGAGCTGAACTTCCCGACTTTCACCTTATAAAGAGCTTGTAAAGCAGCCTCTTCCACCATGAAACTGGCGAGTGCATACTTTCTTTCAGATGTGAAGGGGAAAACAAAATTAATAATAAACTATTACTCATATAAATATAACAATATAATTCTATCAACTATTACTCATATAAATCATAATACATTTGCTGGTGCTGAAAAAAGATATCGAATTTATTAATAATTTTGAAATAGAATTCTTACATTGTATATTATATCAACAGTACATAAAATTTAATCAGTAAAACAACTGCATTAAAACGATCGTAGGATAAAGACCAAATACGTACTTGGTAAGAAACGCAGTTTAAAGTTTCAAGGCAGAATTCACTACAAACTAGTTATTGTTGATGTCACGCTAATGAAAATGAACTGAGAGGATAAGAGATGGATTTGAGACAAATGGACAGTAATTGAGAGAGGAGTTGAACGAACGGTCAAAGAACAACAAATTCAACTCTCAGAGAAAGAAAGTGAACAGTGAATGTAATATATACTAGGTTTACATTTCAAATCAATACCTGTTAAACACACATCCTCGGCAGAACACTGTAGATTCATTTTATCCATATGTCCATCCGACTAATTTATCTACCTGTCCATCCAAACTACTTGCAATCAAGTTTGAGTTTCATTTTGAAATACGGCTTAGCAAAATCATAGTGTACAGGAGCAGCCAATATTATGCTCAAGCTCATGAAAGGACCAACGACACATAGGCCTAAGTACAGGCAATGCCGTAGCCAGGATTTTCAAACAGTGCGCGGGACAATATCAGGGGACCCACTTTACGTGTAAATTAAAACAATGTGGACCATTTTACGCAAAAATATGAAAAATCTGGACCCATTTACTTAAATTTTACCCATTTTAAGCTAAATATGGGAAATGTAGACCAATTTTCAAAAAGTTGACACATTTTATGCATGAAATTACATAGTTTGGACCCATTTAAAAAAAATGTAGACCCACTATTTGTGGACCCATTAGAAAAACTGTGTGGGACTGTCCCAATAGCTGGCTACGGCATTGAGTTCAGGTGAATACCTTAACGCGATTTTGTGGTAATTATAGGAGGGAAGTATTTTTATTATTTGTATTCATTATTTGCTTAGGGCCAACTCAAAAAAAAAAAAATTCTATAAATCAACAAATCAATCAATCAATAAATAAATCACTCACTCGCTCACTCACTCACTAGCTCATTCAAGATTTCTTTCTTCAAGATTAAATCAAATTCACTTTATATTCTTCTAATTTATAGTTAAAGTATAGTATATAAGGCTGGCACCTGGCTACTAAGCATGATCCCAAGTACGAACAAATCCCAATGAGAAATATAAATAAATAAATACAAAAAAATTAAATAGGTTCTAACATAAAGTTAAACAATATAAAGTTTAATAAAGAATAAAATAAAATATAATTAAAAAACCAAGAAGTATAGTAGCAAATAATTACTAGTAATACAATTAATATTATCATAATCAGTTTTCATCAGTTTGATCACGACCAAATCAATTAATACTAATCCAAAAGAAAGCGAAAATGTTATTACATCGAATACTGATGGTCGCTACAACGAAACTAACAGCTCTATGAAATGCTATTCGCTCCAGAAATACCGTATGAAATGAAATTCCGATAAAAAGTGACTAAAATTAGAAATAAATAATTAAATCTAATTTCAGATAACCGACAACGCTATGAAAAGAAACTACTCGTCATTCACAGACAGATTTAATGATTACAAGAAAATCGTGAACCCAACTTTCCCATCTGTGTAACACAATCAATTTTGTCGTTCCATATCGCCAACAATTAGAGAGAAAATCTACAGCATGTTCACAGTTAATCAAAGTACGATATGACGCGATACGGCTGGTCCACACACACATACACACTGATTGACTACCACGTGATCACCAGTAGCGCTCCCAGCTTTCGCACAGTTGTCTATATATTTTTAATTTCTTGCTTGACTGATGAAAACTCATCAATTCTTAAGGTTAACGCCATGATTGTCATCGTTAACTCCTAGAATTCTGCATCAGGGATTTGTCTCAATAATTGACTTATTTTTGTCTCATACTCAAATGTATATTACGAAGAAATGAATTTTTGTGCAGATGAAACCTTAAGTAATGTTATTTATATTACGATATTATGATTACTATGTATCTACATTTTGATGTTGATCTACAAGATGTTGTAATATCTCCGCACACGAAAGTTTGCGTTGACAGATAATTGGCAAATTCCTTAACACTACGTATTGTACGACGTCTTATTGAGGGCGCTTCTAAATCATTTTTGTAACAAACGATACTTTCGTTTCATTAATCGAGGTACTGTAATCACAATATGCAATTTAAATATACCTGCTGTAGCATAAGATTCAACGAATTATCAATGAAAACAAAATTAAGAAACATACTTATATAATTTTCCGTAATAGTATCTCTAGGTTTTCTTCAAACCCACATTCAAACAGCCTTAAATGTAGCAGCCTAATCAACAACACGGTTTGGCGACTGAAGTCCGTTATTGCAGACGATTGGCTGAAATATTAACACATCTTTTAAGAGAGGCACCTATATCTGAGACAAGATTTGGCGCCCTAAGCCAACCCTACTGAGACACGTCACAACGTCGATATCCGTACATGCTCGCTCGAAATAATTGCCATAGTAATCAAATATTTATAACAACGTGTTAAATAACATATACGAGTTACTTTCTAATATATCTTCACAATATTGCCTCGTTTGCTGCTCATTAAAACCGGCTTTCCATTGTTATACGAGCCTCAATATGTAATGGGCCTCCATGTTCCATGTCGAATTCAATATCGAGTCGAGCGATTTCAATTTCATCGGATCAAATAATCTGATTGTTTATCAATGAACATCATCAGCGGTGTACAGTTTGTTAATTAGATTGAGGGAAAGTCTTTGTGTTACCATACCGATTAAAATTATGTAATTATTGTAGACACAAACATGGGGTAACATGTACTAATTTGTCAATATGTGACTATGATTGGCACGCGAACGTAAATCAAACTTGGTTTCAAATAAGGCAGTTTCAGGCATCCTCGACATCAAACGCAACACTGAATAGGCCTTATGAATAAAAAAACATCGGCCAACAGGCCCCTACATTTGTATCACCCGTTCACTACCAAGCAGTATCACACCGTTATCTCCAAACATTTAACAATAGTCTGGTTCACTTTTATATGGAAGTGTGATATATGCCTACATCAAGTTGGTTAAATTATTGGATCAAGAATTCTATTGTACAACCATGCTTATCTGTGATACTGGGGACACTTTAAAATATATAGGCCTATATAAAGGGCATGAATAGATGTGTAGGCCTACAATCATGAGATCTAGACCTATATTGTTCATACACGGACTAATATATAGTCTCATGTACGGTATATATTTAGGTCTATATACATGTATATACGAAACATTATGGTTAATATTTATTAATATGCCGCAATTTACCTAAATTCGACAATATCCGTACTGTTTTACATAGATATTTATTACCATATTCTTTTTTATGTCAATTATTGATTTTTATGTCAAGCGTTGACAAAGACTACAAGAGTAGTCGAAATATTCGTTGCAATAAATTTTAGTGTTTCTAAAGTCAAATGTTTACGTATCTGATTCATCTGCTACACAGTATTATTTATTTATTATTCACACACACATACACACATATAGGCCTATATATATACATATATATATATATATATATAGGCCTATATGTATATTTTTGAATATATAGTTCTACATAATGCTCATATACGCCTGCTATGTCATAAACTATTTAACGCATCACTGCCCACCAATATTCATTTAATTACGGTACTCGCTAAGTGAACCAAAACCAAGCCAATTTCAAGACATAATAAACAATTTATTAGATTGTATTTTGAATAATATATAAGAAATAATGAAACACTTCATCTTTATAATATGAATCGCATAGATGCTATGGGCAGAATGCCTAACAAGTAACTCGGTGGCCGATATTTTAGCTCCTGTCAACTACTGTATATATAAGATAGAAAACGCACGTTAAGTGTAAGGTTTGTTGATATTTCTCGAACATACGGTACTGATACGCCAAAAATATAGACGAAAACCTCAACAAATTATTTTTCATTTAAAAGAAATTCGTAAGTTATTAATTTTCAGTGGCCTACAGACCAAAAAAAAAAAAAAAAATCCCGTTTTCACCGATTTACAGATGTTTTGCTGGAAAAATCATTACGGTACTGTCAGAAATTAAAGGGTAGACCAATGAAAACACAAGAATGGTATTAATATTTAAACATCCTTTTGGTGAGGAAATTTTCACTTGTCCTCATTTTTTAAAGTTTTACGTTCATATTTGATAGTATACAATACCTTAAAGATCTGCTAAAAGAAAATCCAATATTCATTTGATAATAATGAAAAAACAAAACTAAATTGCAATGGGAAGACAGCATAAAAACAATTAAGTTTTTCCAGATTGTTGTACGTCGAACTACTTGTTTGCTCGCCAAAAT